AGAATCATCAGGTACAACACTTAATGATACTCATAGGGTACAATAAGCAATCATACTAGGAAACAGTCTAAGGATACAAGCGACAAAGTTACAGTCATACAGTCACAAGTGGGAGGGGATGGGTGATCAGGAGTGATGGGAAGATTAATAGTGATAATAGTGCAGACTTTGTAAATAGTTGGACAGTTTCTAGAGAATTATTTGTTTAGCAGAATTATGGCGTTCGGGGAAAAACTGTCTTTGTTCTGTCTAGTTGTTCTGGTGTGCAGGGCTCTATAGTGTTGTTTTGAGGATAGGAGTTGAAACAGTTAGGAAGTTTCTCCTTAATTCCAGATTGCTTCTCCCTTTGATTAGTTCCCAACCGTTGTTTCTTCTCCTGCCCTCTGATACTCCTCAGAGTAGAGTACACCTGGGACTCTTGCTAGATGTGTCCCATGGGCTGGGAGGTCTTACCTGCCAACAATCATGAGCTCCCATTCAGAAGACAGAGGTCGAAGATGTCGCCAAAGATCCATGGTGAAAATGGTACTTGCACTGTTGAAGATGGATGTCAAAGAGGACATCAGCGCTGCGATCATGACCGACATCATAAGCCCTCTTAGTCCTAGAAGCAAAAAGAGGGGCTGTTGGTGAATCTGGATGAGAATATTCCTCACCAGCGTCCTCCTCAGGACATCCAAAGAAGCTTGCACTTCAGAACCAGAAGTGGTATTCAGCAGGTTCTGACTGGTTCTGGAGAACCAGTAGCAGAAATTTTGAGTAGTTCAGAGAACCAGCCACTGGCACCTCTGACTGGCCCTGCCAACCCCATCTCTTCTCTGCCTCCCATTGAGTCCCAGCTGATCGGCTGGGCCTTCTTTGGTTGCCCTGCACAGGAGAACGGAGCTGGAAAGCAGGTTAATGGGGTGGGGGAGGGAATGGGGATTTTACAGTATCCTTCCTCTGCCATGACCACCAAGCCATGCCCACAGAAACAGTAGTAAAAATTTTTTGAATCCCACCCCTGATCAGAACGTTCTTGCTATTTGCTAAGTCATAACTTGCTTTAAACTCCCCCAAAAAAGAAAAAAGAAAAAAAAAGAATAAAACCAGGAATTGTTTCAATGAACAAAGGGAAAAAAAATACCGAGGTTACTTTTCACAGAGGTATAGAATCACAGAAATATTAGTATTAGAATTATAATGAATTAAAATAAATTATTAGAATATGAATATTCTTTCTTGGCTTAGTGTGATTGGACACACAAGGGATTTGTCTCCGGTGCAGAAGCTCTCAGTGTACATACAAACAATAAAGTGATAGGTAAATAAAGTGACACACAGGTCACAAATCATGACACAAACAACAATTGATAAATCATAATATGTATTGTAGGAGTAGGTAGAGGGAAAGATGAAAGGTGACAAAGATGAAAAGAGGCTATTCCATCCAGTTTTATGTTATCTTGCAATTATTTTCTCCACCTTTAATCCAAGTAATTAATGAAAACAAATAGCACACCAGACCCTCCTGCTAGTGAAGGCAAAAATGCCTCGTGCCCCCAAAAGTCCTATTGCAGGCCTGCCAGCCCCTCTAGGCAGTAAGAAGCCCCCTTACCCAGTGGCAGAAGCTCGATGACGAGTTTAGGGTACGCAATATCCGAACATCCAGATGGATTGCCACAGATCTCTTTACAGGATTTGGGGTCAGCACAGGCCACTAGATCTGCAACAAAACAGAACCAAAACGAAGTTATGAAGGGTGAGAGAAAAGCTGGACAGTTTGAAAAAGTTTTTTTTTTTTTAAAGGATTAGAAAGCAGATTCAGGGCTGCCATTTTGGGATGAGAATGGACCCTGCCGGAGGGAAGCCTGGGGGTCCCAACTTCTACCTCGGGAAGCCTTCACATTTTCCCAGCTCAGCCCAGGTTGCGATAGAGACGGGTTAAGGCACCATAATCGGAGTTTGGTGCCATCCTTAGGTAAGCTGGTTAACTCAACAAGCTCATCAAGAAGAGACTGGACTGCCATCTGTCAGAAATGGTGTGGGGTCTCCTGCTTGGTCAGGGGGTTGGACTAGATCAGGGCTATCCAACTTTGGCAACTTTAAGCCTGGAGGACTTCAACTCCCAGAATCCCCCAGCCAGCTGGCTGGGGGATTCTGGGAGTTGAAATCCTCCAGGCTTAAAGTTGCCAAGTTTGGAGACTCCTGGACTAGATGACCAACAAGGTCCCTTCCAACTCCGTTAATCTGTAATCTGTAATTCCCAGAAGATTCTCACCTGAATTCTAATCTCGTACCTCAGTGTGGATGAAAATCCTGAACTGCCTCAAAAGATCAAAATGCTGAAATAATTTCTATATAGCTAAATCCCTGGCTACCTGGGATATCTACAAGCTAGAGTAATTTCCAAGGGGATAAAGGAAATCAAACTTTATTTCTAAATATGTAAAAAAAAATGTTAAAACACCTTTTATCTGTAAATATTAAACATTCAACCAAACTTCCCAGGTCACAGGATATAATAGGTACAACTAAGAGAACACGGCTTGAAGGATGAACAACTGCTGAAGTTTAAAGACCCACTTATATAATTTAAACAGAGAATCAAAAACATGAAATAAATGAGACTTCAAACACTACAGGAAAACAAAAACCATAAATTAAACCAATTCCTGGCTGCTTGCTTTATTCATTGCTACAGAAAGAACAGTTCTCTGAAGCAAAAAGTTCCTCTACTTCGGTTACCTGGGCTTATCTTTGATCTTAGATTCTAAACTTTAATCAGCATCTGAGAAGAAGATGTACTTTTCCCAGTCTCACTCCACAGATTCTGAGGGACTGCTTCTGCCTTCCACCTTTTGTTTTAAACCAGCCAGCCATTTCTATGTCCAGCGGAGGAAGGGTAGTATTTCTCTGGGTGTGTTGATAGTCTACCTGGGCACCTGGCAGGTGAGTTGCCTTCATCCATCATTCAAGCTCTCCTCAGGAGCACCCATACCTGGTTCACCACAGTGACCAAGTTTCCATGTCAGAATGTGAAAGATACACACAGGAGTATGGGTTGTTTATTTTTAAGATAGCTTTCTTCTATGAACCCAGCCATATATATATATATTCAGTTTGACCAAGCATGATATGTAAACTTAGTTACTTGGTTGGGTTCACACATTCAGCTATACTTTGCTCAACCTTAATTCCCTCTATATACATATATGTATTCCCCAGGGAATTAAGATTGAGCTAAGTATAGCCGAATGTGTGAACCCAACCAAGTAACTGAGTTTACATATCATGTTTGGTCAAACTGAATTGTACTTTGCTTAACCATAGTCTATTTTAAAAAAATAAAGTTTGCCTGAGTTTATTCAACACAATAATCATGACAAAAACAGTGAGTTCACATGGTCCCTTAGGCACAAATAAACAATCCACATCTTAGTTTTATACGTTGTGTGAACATAGAGAGGGACCATAATCACCAACAGATAAATAAGCAAAGAATGTAAACAGGCCAAATAAAAAAAACAAAACAGGATAACTATCACAACTGTGCACAGAGGAATAGAAAGAGGTTCATTTTCCAGAACAAATAATTCTATATTTTTTTAAAAAAAACATACAGAAAAGAAGAAGCATTTGAATTTTTTTTGAGAATTGCACTTCCCTTCATATCCTGGTTTGGTTCAGGTTTAGTCTCGGTGAACTGAGGAAGAAACAGACTAAGAAGACAGCCTTATTATGTGTTATCAAATAAAATGTTAAAACATTTAAATGGATATTTTAATAATTTATTAAATAGTAAAACTAGTGCATTAATAATTAAATAATAAAAACAGTGTATTAATAATTTATTAAATAATAATAGTATATTAATAATGCATTAAATAAAATATATTAATAACGCATCAAACAGAGTATATTGATTATTAAATAATAAATAATATATTGATAATAATTAAATAATAAATAGTAATATATTAATAATTATTAAATAATACTAAACAAGAGGCTGTCTTCTCAGGCTCTTTCTCAGTTCATCCAGACTGGGCTAGAACCAAACCAAATCAGCCTTCGAGGGAAAGCGTAATTCTCAAAAAAAAATAAAAAAATAAAAAACCCCAAATGCTTCTTCTTTTCCATGTGTTTTTTTTCCTTCCTGGGCCTCCCTGGTCGCTCTGACCTGGGAAGAGGATGCGGCTGATCATGCCAGGCAAGACCATCATGAAGAGGGGCAGGATCTTCAAGTAGGAGGCCAGCAGGGCACCACCCTTGGCGTGAGAGAGAGACTTCGCTGCCAGAGATCGTTGGACGATGACCTTCAAAGGAAAAGGAGATGTAAAGGGTTGGGGTTTTTTTTCCCCCCCTTCTTCACCTAGAACAGCCTCTCACATTACACCAGGCGAGTCTGCAAGGTGTAGTCCGATAAATTCAAGATGGAGGTCACAACGGTCCAAAGTTTCAAGCAGTTTATAAAAGCGCTTTGGCTTCCTTCGTTCTGGACTTGCAGATGCCTCCAAGTCCAGAACCTAGAAGGTAAATGAAGATGTACCCAAATGTCACCCCAACAAAGTAGACCATAGTAAAAAATACAAAAAAACAAGGGCAAGTAGCATTAGCAATAGCACTTAAACTTATATATCGCTTCACAGTGCTTTCCAGCCCTCTCTAAGCAGTATACAGAGTCAGCCTATTGACCCCAACAATCTGGCTCCTTTTTTACCCACCTGGGAAGGATGGAAGGCTGAGCCAACTTTGTACCAATGAGAATTGAACTGTAGCCTGCAATACTGCCTTCTAACTACATCTTCCTTCCTTTTCCTCATTGTCCTTCCTTCCTTCTCATTTTCCTTCCTTCCTTCCTTCCTTCCTTCCTTCCTTCCTTCCTTCCTTC